CTATAACTTGAGTACTTGACTAGTTCGAAGTAGACTATAACAAATAAAAGGTTTTTTTCAACTACTTGAGTAGCGTTTATAAAGAAGATCTTAGAAATCTTTTTGTTTGTTTGTAATTTAAAAACCAAATCTATATTATTATCAGAAATAAAAGTCAGAGTTTCACGGTGACTAAATGATTCGTCTTCTGGCCTGGACATATGGTTTTTATTTTGCTCTTAAACATACAATAAATTAGAGAAAGAACTAGACTAATAGTTAGTTTAATTTCTACTAATAGAGCGCTGAAGAGTGTAGTCGCGAGTTGTAAGTCACGTCCTCTTGTGTGTGACGTATTAAGGTTGAGTAAATATGCAGTTGGTGTCACAAGCGATCACACATTTATTAACTATCTTCTGTATTACGTACGTTCAATAACTATTTCCACTTTATAGGTATATCATAATTAGTGTAATGCGCTATTATATATTAAAAAAAAAGAATTTGTCGTTAACAAATATACGTTCTTTGTTATATGTCACATACAAATATAAGTGTTCATGCATGCCTTGCATGTGTTATTGTTTAATGCAATGCATTAATTCATCAAACTCATTAATTTTTCCTCTATATCAACTGATTTTGTGAGAAAGCCAATTCCATTTATTGTCCTCGGCTTCTACTTAGAGTTTTTGTAGATGACATTTTTGTGGATGAATTAAAAGATTGAAATTAACTCTTTTACAATCTTATAACTTTAGTGGACTACACAATTTTTAACGTCAAGAGTGAAAATTTTATTTAATCTTGCTAAGAGACAGGACTAAATGTGTAGGATGGAGAGTCGTCACTATTACATTTATTGGGGTCAATAAATAAGAAAATATGATATTCTGAGCCCTGTTTGATTATGTTTTGTGAAGGAAACTCCATTAATGTAGTTGAAAATAAGGTCCCCTCTTCTTCCTACTCTAAGCTTGGTGAATTTGTGATCACATTATTTGTTCAAAACAACCCTACAGCTTCAATAAAGACTGATCGATCGAGCCCAGATCAGTACTGATAGATCTGAAACTGTTATGTTTATTCTTTGAGGTCAAGTGTATGAAATCCAAATCAAACATATTTCCAATTTCGACCAATAGAAACAAAGTACTGGACAATAATACACTATTATCTATTGTATTTGATTCAGAAGATTATGGATCCTGAAACCTTTCACTTAAAAGTTTGTATCGAATAACTTTCTACTTCATTATTTAATTAACATCACTCAAAATTTAAAAGAAACAAGACAACAGCCAAAAATTTAAAAACATGTACTGGAACCAGAGGAGCCACAAGAATTTGGAGAAGCATTCTTGGCCGAAAATGGTTTGAAATTTAGTTGAGAACAGAACACCTCCCTCCGACAAATAAAGTAACTACATAGGAAAAAATGTCTATAATTTACAATGCATGCCCATTGATATAAATCAGCAGCAAAGGCAAACAATAACTAGAAATTACAATGTTCATCAATATTTTAAAAACAATTAATTTATAAAAAAAAACTTCCAAGATAGCAAACATGGGCTTCAATAGATATAGCCTTGAAAATTAGATATCATACGATTTGGTTTCAGATCATGTACCAGTACTACCGCCACTGGTTGCTTTTGCGTATATCCATCGGTTGAAAACAATAGATTTCTCCTTTTATTTGTGTCTTTTTCAGCAAACTGCTAGTGGTGAGAGTGTCAATATTTTCTTCCCAAGACCAAGAATATAAGTTCCGTTCAGATCTATCGAATACATGTGTTTCACTTGTTTCTTTCTGCCTGAGTCGAACGACCATATCATTTGGTTGGGTCACTTTTTCTTGGATACGCACAAGCTAGCGGTTATCGAGGTTGCACATAGTGATATGATCTTGTCACAATTCGCACTTGCAAAAGAAAGTTTAGAAATGACTCGAAAAGTTTCAGTGTGAAGATCAAGATTGGTTTCTTTACATTCAGTATAGCGATCCATCTACATACACATGATCATGGAAAGCATTGATCCGACAAGCAAAAGAAAGGGTGACACACTTTCTTAACGTTCGTATTAAAGGTTGATCCGGTAAAGAGAATAATGGGTGATATACTTCTTAGCGATTAAAAGTTCTAAAATATTTATTTACATATAAACATGACTTAATTTAATAAGATGGCGAATTGAACTAAGCAAGAGAAAAAATGTAAGTAAGATTTTAATTTCTGTATGAAAAGGATATTTCAACCACTTGCTTTTTTAATTTATGAAAATCAAAATTTCTTAAAATCTAATTTTAACTGTTCAAAAAACATCTCTTAGTTTCCATTATTAACTTTTACTCTCGCCAAAACAAAATTGTTTACTACATTCTTCAAAAAAATCAAAATCTAAATGAATTAATGTAAAAAAAAACAAAGAGTAAACAAAAAAAAGCAGAGTCCACGGTGTTAAAGTCTAACCCAAACGGCCTCACTCGGGATTCCACGGTGAACCACAAACATCATATAATACCCAGGAGGTGCCACGTAGGAGTTAGTGGGTCCTTCCACATCAGCTTTGTACGCGAAAACAGATAACTGAGCTACACGCCTCACGCGCAGGACTAGCAGCCTCTGGTTCATCGCCGTCGAGTGTGTGCTAAACGACGGAGCTACGAGCCGCACCGAGACTCCTCCGTCGAACATCCCGAACGCCGGAATCACGAACGTAACGGAAAACATCTTTCCGTACAGCATATCTCCGGCCAGCTCAACCGTGAGGATCGACGGCCTTACGCTCGCGTACTGTGGATCAAGGTAACGCGGGAGATAGGCCTCGAGACTGAGCTCCGTCGGGTACGGCTTCGCCGTGAAATTGTAGTTCCGGTGAGGATTGCTTCCTCCGATTAATACTCTCCCGTCGGAAAGTAGGAGAGACGCCGAATGGTACATTCTAGGGATTCGAGTCGGGGCGAGGATTTCGAATCTCCGGGTCGGGTCAGGCTCGTCGGGTAAGTATAAAATCGGGTTGAGAACAGCGTTTGTAGCGTCTTCCCAACCAGCGGTTCCATTCGCCGCACCGTTAATGATCAAAACGTCTCCATTTGGTAACAACAGCATATCAGGCATGACACGTGGCGACGGCATCTGCTCCATGACCCATTTCGGATTCGGGTCGGTCACTTTCAATCTCCCGCACGTGCAAGATGCTCCGACAAAGATTTTAGGGATCGTCCTCGCCGCTTTCAGAAACGCTCCCGGCGGAGCTCCGCCGCATACCATGACCTCAGCCGCCGTTTTAGATCGGTTGTTACCTCCGGTGAGCAAGAGAGGGAGGAGCACCGACGAGCCAGTGCTGGGATAGTTCCGTTTATCGCCGCCGGGTATATCCGGAAACACCTTGACGATTCGGTGATTGATAAAATCGAGCAAAATCGATCTTCGATTGGCGAAGATGAATAGATTTCCGTCGGGGAGAAGATGAAGAAATGGATAAAGATTGTTTTCTTCATTGGGATCTCTCGTCTCCGCCAAGAATCTGAGATAGAATACAGATTTTCCCGGGTTCTTGGGGTAAAACTCGTAGGTGAAGGCTCTTCTTCCGCCGACGATGATAATCCGGCCGTCGGGAAGAATCTGGTTGGTGGAATACCACCGGCGAGAGGAAAGATACGCTCTGTTCTCAACCCAATCACAAGAAACGCCGTCGCAAGGTGTGAATATCCGTACAGCTCGTTCGCCGACGCCGTAGCCGCCGGTCTGGATCAAAGAGCCTGAGGCGTTTAAGGATCCGGAGGAGCACCACGTGTCGTAACGGAGAGTAAGTGGGCGAAATGTGTTTGAAGCAACGTCGTATAGGAGGGAATGAGCAGAGCAGTCAAAAACGGTGGCGTTTTGGCAGAGTTGAGAAGCGAGAGAGAGATTCGAAGGGCCATAGTCCGTACGGTCAAAGATGACGACTTTGTTGTTGTGGAGGAGTTGCATGTGCATCGCCGATATGCCTATACTCGGCTGCAGGAGATCCCACCTCCCGCCGGTGAGAATCGCTAACGGTGAACGTGGGAGGAGCAAATCCGACGTGGAACAGAGGAAGAAGAAGAAGAAAGATAAGACGGCCGCGTATAGGTTCTTCTTGAATCTTTCTTCTTTCATATTTCGTTTTCTTCTTTCTTCAGCTCTGAATCTTCCTTCTGCGGAGAACGAGATTTAACGATTAACGCTTTTTTGGGTAATTATTGTCTTTCTTGAAATGGGTAGGAGAAGAAACATTTATGGTGTTTTTTCTTGCTGGTGAAATGTATAATCACAGACTCATGATCTGTAAATTTATATCATTAGGGTCTAGAATAATTTATTGCTTATGAAATGTGCAAATAAGTTGGTGAATTTGGATCTGTAGTATTGATCACGGACCATCTTCACAGAGATAACAGTATGATATTTTGTCAACTTGTCGTGTGAAATAATTTGGAGATTTACTTTGCAGTCTTTGCTCTGTTTTCTTCAAATTTTGTTGGGGGAACAGAGAGTCCCGCCATTAATTAGCTTCTGACTGCAAGAGGACAACTGTAATTACTTGGATGGCAAGAACAATACTTATATGGGCCGAACTTATACTCTGTTTGATACCAGCTGATTCGGCCTAATGGACTTTTGAGCACAATACTGTAAAATTACTACGTTAGGAAGTTTAACTTTCATTAACAAATCGTATCACAAGATTAGACCGTTAACATGGACTGCATGGACAATGGAGATATAAACAAAGATAGTTATCTCAGGTTTAAAGTTGATTTATTATATAGCTCACTAAAAATAGTATTAGGTTAAGGCAAAAATAACTGAAAATATCGTGGACAATGGAGATATAAACAAAGATAGTTATCTCAAGTTTTAAAAGTGATTATTATTATAGCTCACTAAAAATAATATTAGGTTAATGCAAAAGTAACTGAAAATATCAATCCCACAATAGAAGGACAAAACAGAGACATACGTAAACTAAAATTGGGTTTTAGGAGATATGAGAAATTGAAATCAATGGCTGCCTAATCTCTGTTGATTCTTAATCCTCCATTTACCCATTTCATCTCCCTCTCTCTCTCTCTGGTTCCTTGTTATTAAAGCAATCGATATTTCAATCCTTCAATTTAACTCCGGAGGCCGATCTTAGTAACACAGCCTCCGCTCAAGGGTTCGCCGGAAAATATAAATCTCAGCGGTTTTAATCGCCGCATTTGCAAATGGCAGTAGCGTTTTTGAATATTGGCGGCAACGTTTTCGTCTTCTTCTTGTCGTTATTAGCCACATTGGCTCCACAGGTTCGAGCCAATGTTGCTGTCTTCGACAACTACTGGACGCAGCGTCAAAGCGATGCTTTAAAACAAACCATAAACTCTTACGATCCTAACCCGCTAAACGTCACCAACCACTTGAATTACCACGTCAATTTGTGAGTTTTTGTTTTTTGTTATGTAAATTTTAAACATATCTTCTTTAACAAGCAACCTAATAAAAAAACTGGTTCATCTTAACAGGGCAGTGGACGCTGCGGAATCAATGAACAGCCCGAGGAGAGAGCTTTCACAGGTGAAAAGTGGTAGGAAAACGCAAAAAAGCAACGGAAAATGCTTAGCTTATAACCCCATAGACAAATGCTGGCGATGCGACCGTAATTGGGAGAAAAACCGGAAGAAACTAGCGGATTGTGTGCTCGGATTCGGCCGGAAAACCACCGGAGGAAAAAATGGACCGTTCTACGTAGTCAACGATGCGTCCGACAACGATCTTGTCAACCCGAAGCCAGGAACGTTAAGGCACGCGGTGACCCGAGATGGACCGCTTTGGATCATATTCGCAAGAGACATGCTCATAAAACTGCAACAAGAACTGATGGTAACGAGCGATAAAACGATCGATGGAAGAGGAGCCAAGGTTTACATCATGGAAGGTGCTGGAATAACGCTGCAGTTTGTGAACAATGTGATCATACACAATATTTATATCAAGCACATTGTTCCTGGGAACGGTGGGTTGATCAGAGACTCTGAGCAGCACATAGGGCTCAGGACGAAAAGCGATGGTGATGGAATCAGTTTGTTCGGAGCAACCAATGTTTGGATCGATCATGTCTCGATGACCAGATGTGCAGATGGTATGATCGATGCGATTGACGGCTCGACTGCAGTAACTATTTCCAACAGCCATTTCACCGACCACCTAGAGGTAAAAGTCAAGTTTTCTTCCTTTTTGACAGACTTATAACGATTTGATTCTTGAAATCAAAGCACTATATAAACGAGTGAGTAAGGCATATTTAAGCCCTTCTTTGAATTTGGTCGTGAGAAAACAGGTGATGTTGTTTGGGGCGAATGACAAACACGTGATAGACAAGAACATGCAGATAACGGTTGCGTTTAACCACTTTGGTAAGAGACTGGAACAGAGAATGCCTCGATGCAGATTCGGGACGATCCATGTCGTAAACAATGACTACACACATTGGGAAATGTACGCAATCGGTGGAAACATGAACCCTACAATCATAAGTCAAGGCAACCGTTTCATTGCTCCTCCTAACGAACAAGCCAAACAGATTACAAAGAGAGAGTACACGCCTTACAGTGCTTGGAAATCTTGGAACTGGCGATCGGAAGGAGATTACTTCATCAATGGAGCTTATTTTGTTGAATCCGGAAAACCAAATGCGTGGAGCCCTACGCCGAAAAACCCTATCCCAAACAAGTTTGCGATTCGACCGAAACCGGGAACGATGGTCCGTAAACTAACCATGGACGCAGGAGCACTTGGCTGCAAACGGGGTAAAGCCTGCTAATTGAAACTACCATTTTGCCACTTCCAACAATCAAAGAAAGCTTATGCTATGTAATTGGTTGTTGTCCAAGTAAAAACGAGAGAGAGAGAAGGAAGGATAAGTAGAGGAGAAAGAAAGCAAAATGGAGTTTTTTTTTCTTTTTTTATGAATGGTGTTTTGTGATTCAGAGTGCATATATAATGCGCCGTCTCGGATTATTTTTCTTATAGGATCCATGTTCCTTTTTCTACGGAAAAATGAGAAAAACAAAATACCTTAGATATATGCAATCCCTTTGATAATGACTATTACCAATAAGTGTACGGTTGATGTCAATCTATTATTAGAACATTGATAAATTTGATATGACATAGTCACACATTAGCCCAATCAACATTAACGCAACAATTTATCATTTTAAAACTAAAAATAAGAATATTATAATGAAAAGCACTATACAATGTTAATAATATAAAGCTTTTTATACCATAGCAATATGTTTCATCTTATGTTTTTGTTTTCTACATTTATGTTTGCTTTCAAGGTAGAGATGAGCAGATATCTCTATGTTGAGAACATGTAAAAGGGAAAATCAAATAAGACATAATTTTAATTTGATCACAGTCTCTAGTTAATCGATATTTCTAATTTTAAAACAGTAATGCATGAAATTCTCTTTAGAAAAAGGATAAAATTGTAATCCCTATTTTTAGAAACTGAAATAAAATTATGAAACTTGCAAAAATAAAAAGATAGAGACTACAATTTGGGATAATTAAATTAATAACCAAAAAAAATTATAATTCACAAAATAACTATTTTCTCTCTCATTCTCTTCCTCTCTCTCAAAAATTAGTTAATTTGCGAAATTTGTTCAACAAAATTTTTCTTACTATTTTATCATTTTATTGTTCAAAACAGAAAGAGACTACAATTTTTAAACGCAATTCTCATTCAAACGCATATCCACACGTGTACAATCGTTACATTTGTAAGTTTTAAGATATCTGGGGCCTTTTTGTAAATTTTAGGAACTGAAGATGTCGAAGACGAATTAACCAAAAGTTATCACTCTCTCTGTCTCGTCTCTGAGAATGTAAAGGAAGCACTTTTGCTCCTCCGTCTTAACTCGCAGAGGAGACAACTCAGTGAGAGACTGAGAGGGAACCCAAAAAAAACGCGGCGATGTCACAACTCTTATCTTCTCCTTCAATGGTGGTAATTTCCAATCCCTTTATCAGCCCTCGCATTCTCCCTTCGTCTTCAGTACTCGTCACCGGAGGTTTCACCGTGAAACGGCATGAGATCGCTTCGAAACCGACGACGACGGTGAAGCTCTCGGTTAAGTCCCGCCAGACGGATTATTTCGAGAAGCAGAAGTTCGGCGACTCTTCTTCTTCGCCGTCATACTCCTCACAAAATGGTAAGTACTCAGTGCTTTAGGGTTTTAGCTTAGTTTAATTTGGGAATTGAAAAGCTTGATTACCAAAAGGGTACTCTTAATTTGGAAACTGGAAGGTTGATATCGGAAAAGAGACGTCTTTTGATTTCTAGAAATGGAGCTCCAAGAGTGATGTTTACTTTTTTTTTTATCTTTGTTGTTGTTTGGATTTGATAGCTGAAGGATTACCCGCAAGATTTTACGTGGGTCATTCGATATACAAAGGGAAAGCTGCGCTAACCGTGGAGCCAAGAGCACCAGAGTTTGTGGCTTTAGACGTAAGTCTCTATACCAAAGATCCAAAGAGCTCTAATTGTATGAATATGGTTTGAGTTTTTCCTTCTAATCTCTGTCTTTTGCAGTCTGGAGCTTTCAAGTTGTCGAAAGACGGGTTTCTCTTGCTCCAGTTTGCTCCTTCAGCTGATGTGCGACAATACGATTGGAGCAAGAAACAGGTTCGGTTTTATCTTTTTTTCAGCTGCAGATGATTCCTTTGAGCTGTATTCTATGAACTGTGCTTTGGTGCAAAAAAAGCAATCTTCTATTATGAAGTTAGTAGTTTCTTGATGTCAAAATGTCGCAGGTGTTCTCCTTGTCGGTTACAGAAATCGGAACTCTAGTTAGCCTAGGCCCGAGGGAATCTTGTGAATTCTTCCATGATCCATTCAAGGGGAAAAGGTAAAAACTTCATCACACTAAACGCATTGGATTGTTATTCTTATCTGCTTACTCTCAAGCCGTGTTTGTAGTGACGAGGGGAAAGTGAGGAAAGTGTTGAAAGTTGAGCCTCTCCCAGATGGTTCTGGCCACTTCTTCAACCTAAGTAAGTAAATATTAATCTTTTTCTTGATTCTTGTCAAAAAGAAAAGGTGTAAACTTGGGTCTCTAACGGGTTTCAAGCTTTGTCTATGTATATAAGGTGTTCAAAACAAGCTTTTGAATGTGGATGAGAGCATTTACATACCAATCACTAGAGCAGAGTTTGCTGTTCTTACCTCTGCTTTCAACGTAAGATTCATAAATTCTCTCAATTTTTTTTTTTTACTTTACCTGCGTTGTGAATGTGTAAATAGGCATCTTTACTAAACTCTGTTCTTCTGTATCGCAAGTTTGTGTTGCCTTACCTTATAGGTTGGCATGCATTTGCAAACTCCATCAAACCAGAAGACGCAAACCGTATGAACAACGCGTCACCTAACTATGGAGGAGACTATGAATGGAATAGAGGTTGAATCTTTAGGTGCCATAGGCAAATCTGTCAGAGATTATTGAAGATAGGGTTATTGAAGATTGATCTCTGTTTCGTAGCTAACAGAAAGTAGTGTTTTTGACCAAGGATCTTTTGTGTTACGGGGTTGTATCTCAAAACATCTGTTTGATTGCCTTGTCTTAATTTAGCTGTTTTTGATTAAAGAGCAAATGTCAAAATAATTTGAATTGCGAGTAGGCTTGTATTGTCCAAAAGCACAGGCCTTGAGAAGAGCGTTGAAGGGTGAAGTGGTTTAGAGGAGATATTGGCTTTGGGTATGGATTCTGTCCGGTTAGTAGTACAATTTTTTATTTCGGTTCAGTTGCTCTGATCCCAAAATACATACTTATTTAGTGTTGCAACTTGCAAATATAATTTGTTAGTGTTGCAACTTGTAAATATAATTTGTTAATTTGTAAACTAATACAAACTCTCTAGTCTTCGGGTTTGAGTCACCGAGTAATTCCGGTTGACGGTACAGTTCGCCCTAACGGTTAATTACGGTTTAGGAGCCAGTCGGTTGTCGAAAGGCCAAAAAGCAAACCCAACAACTTTACAAAAATGTCAGAGGAGCAAGTTTCTAGAAGATCACCACTGCGTACGATATAGGTTGTTCCAAATCATTGAAGTTTTCGTTTTCTCTCATCGCACGGCCAAACCGAGAATCGGCGACCTGATTCTCGAATCGATCGGAACTTCTCTGATCACCGGCGGTCATCGCCGCGACACAGATGTTTGCTTGACGACCTCTTCTCCCCGCGATCTTTGCCTCTTCCTTTCTTTTCGCCGGCTTTTACTCAACAACGAGATCTGTGTTCACGGTACCTTTTCATCTGATCTTTCTTTTCTTCAATCCTTCTTTGCTGGATCCGCGAATTTACTTTCATCAGAGCTGTTTCTTATCATTTTTGAGCTATTTTGGTGAATTGATGCGACTTTAAGCTGTTTCTAGGTTCAAGTCTTAGTTTTGAAAAGAAACTTGTTCAATATTTTGCAATTAGTGTTTGCCTCTATGCTATTTAGCTGTCATAGGTCGTCGACTTCCTTGATCATATCTAGTTAAAATTCCTAGAGTAACATAGGTTTTCAGACCTCAGAATGATGAATATTTGAGTAAAGTATCTATTTTTACCATTCTTATAGCTATTCTGTGTGAATTGATGCGGCCTTATGCGGTTTCTAGGTTCAAGTCTTCGTTTTGATGTGGCTTCTAAGCTGTTCATAGGTCGCAACTTCCTTTGCAGATTCGCATCTATTATATATTAGCAGTTTAGCATACCCAAACCATTGAAGATCAGATTATTTGAACATATTTGGTAGAATTCCCATGATGAACATATGGGTTTTATTGTATAGACTAAAAGGAGGATGTCGACCCCAGCAAGGAAGAGGTTGATGAGGGATTTCAAGAGGTTGCAGCAAGACCCACCTGCGGGAATAAGCGGTGCTCCACAAGACAACAATATCATGCTCTGGAATGCTGTCATATTCGGGTAACGGAACAAGTACCATAGATAGATACTGGCTTTTAGTTTCTCAGACACGATAGTTTCTGTACTTACTTCGATCTTCTTTAATTTGTGTGTGCGTGTATGTGGATTTGCAGGCCTGATGACACGCCATGGGATGGAGGTAAGCTTATGTTGTTGTGATTTGGCGTGGATCCACGAGACTCTGGGATCAATCTTTGTAGTAGCTTTCTTATTGCTCTTGCTTGTTCCTTGTGTCAGGTACTTTCAAGCTCTCACTGCAGTTCTCTGAAGATTATCCGAATAAACCACCAACAGTTCGTTTTGTGTCACGGATGTTCCACCCAAATAGTAAGTTATAGAGATGTTCTCTTTACTTCCACTTGGGTTTGTGTTGACCCTTTTCGGCTCAAAATTAACCTTCTTCTCTACCTGCTTTGCAGTTTATGCAGATGGGAGTATTTGCTTGGACATTCTACAAAACCAGTGGAGTCCAATATATGATGTTGCTGCTATACTTACCTCCATCCAGGTAATATTGAAATGCCATACCAACATCTCTGAATGCCCCTTGAAGCTTGAACTTATTCTCTTTCTTTTTACTACAGTAATCGATATTTTGCTTCTTTTATCGCAGTCGTTGCTCTGTGACCCTAATCCGAATTCTCCTGCGAACTCGGAAGCCGCTCGGATGTACAGCGAAAGCAAGCGTGATTACAACAGGAGAGTGCGTGATGTTGTTGAGCAAAGCTGGACTGCTGACTAGTAGTAGTAGTTAAGTTTGTAAGCTTTGTAACTCTATCCTAAGCTCAATGTCACCATTCAGCAAAAACTTCCTTTGTATTTTCATTCTCTGTCTTTTGTTTTTCCCAAAAAAAAACTCTACTGATTCAATGCTTTGATGCTTCAACATCCTTCAAAAAAAAGCTTTGTACCAAAACAACTGAATTATTCACTTGTGTGTACATATGTATTACAATTTGTAGCCTATTCTCTCTATAGCACCATATTATCAGTCGCAAAGCATGCATCTTCTTCTCGTCATCAATCTACCATACGATTAGCTACAAGCCTTAATAAACCAGTCAAGAATTATATGGTTATTATCATTCAAAAGGGAAGAAAAGAAAAACAAGCAATATCTTGAAAAGAAGAGAAGAAGAAGCAACGGTTACAAGATGCATTGACAATAATCAAATAGAGATTAAACTCTGGAAATAAAAAACAGGATATCCAAAAAAGTGTTCAGCATCGAAAGCAACATAAACAAATGAGGAATTTTCGGGGTCGAGTGTAAGCAGCTCTCGACCTTTCACAAGATCATAAAACAGCAAATTCTTATTCTTCTTCTTGGTCTTCTTGTTCTTCCCATCCAAAAGCGCTAGTGGAAGGAACGCGCATAGTGTTGGGCTATTATAAAAAATAGAAGTAATATCCAGATCTATGGAACAAATCTTGTCCCACGTCTTGTTGCCTGCGTTGAACGACCATATCACTTGGTTGGAGCCCTTCTTCTCCGACACGCACAAGCGGTTGTCGAGGTTGCACATGACGATCTCGTATGGATTATCCTTACGGTGTGGATTGGCGGCAAAGGGGGCTTTAGACAAGACTTGAAACGCTTCGGTGTGAAGGTCCAACGATACAACTTTGGTTTCTTCGCAGTCTGTGAACCAATACAGCGACCCGTCTACAAACGCGGGATCAGCACAAACCGCAAGCCGATAAGGAGCAGCAGGAGTGACATACCTCCAAGCGTTGGTGCTAAAGTCGAAAACTTCGCATGTAGTTGCGTTTTCTCGGCCTATTTCTGCAGAGTTGTATAGCCAAACGGGCTTGTACGTGCCCGTGAATTTGTCTTTACCGAACCCAAGCTTAAAGAGCGCGTGTCCAAGCTCGAAGTAACTGTTTCCTAAGTCGACCATGAGTTGCTGTAATCCACAGAGAGGAAGAGGGCGATGCCATCTAGTGGCTGGGTTGACCACAAAACCGGATACGAGGGGATTGTAAAGACAAACGAGACCGTCACAGCTATTAAAGGAGACTAAGTACTGCGTGTCCTCCTCCTCCCAAGGAGTAGGTATCTTCACCGATGAGGATGAGCCCAACACCAGTGTGCTTAGAGATTCTATCTTCCCCGAGCCTCTCCATGCTGACACCATCAGTACATCTGGATCTCCTGATTGCTGACGATGCTTCAACTGTCTTTCTTGGAAGAATGGTGACTCGATCGTCGATCTCCATTGCTTCGATACAGCCTTGAACCTCAGCAGAGGTTTCACCTCAAGTCTCTCAAGGATACGCTCTACGATATGGTGGGGCAGCGATTCCATCCTCGATTCTATCATCAAGCGACGTTTTTTCCACATTCTTGCCTCCTCTCCGTAGCCATTGATGAGATGCAGAGGCTTATTATATATACTACAAGTAATCTGACAAATAAATGGTAAAATCAAAGAGAAGGAAATCTCAACACTTTTTTTTTTCCTTAAATCTAAATATTTGATTCAAAAAATTAAATCAGATCAAGGAAAAGATATTCTCTCTCACCACATGACACAGATCTTCTCTCGACCAAACTCAAAAACCTCAACACTTTACTTTTCAGAAATCTAAAATTTCAATGAGAATTTTCTAGGGATTTCTTGAATTTCCACACAAAAAGAAAAGGTTTTTCTCTCTCTCTCCGAACGACACAGATCTTGTCTTTATCTAAACTCAGACACCTATTCGAACCCTCCTGTCTCAATTTTCTTCTGGGCTTTTAAATTTTATTTGGGCTCAAAGCCCAAATATGATTTAAACTGACGGTGAGGAGGTTCTTGTCCTTCAGGATGAGATATTTCTATGAATTTTTAACTTATTTTTTCGCGACGAAAAATTATTTGAAAGCCGACAACCCCAGAACAAAACATGGGACCCACCAGAAAACACATACGTACTTTTTGACTAGTTGAAATCATGCGGGTCCTTTACGTACATTGAATGAAATCTAAACTCTTTAGAAACTTTTAGAAGGTTTTTGGTGGGACCAATAACTATTAATAAGTTTCTTGTGACATAGGTAGATCACGTACTTGAACCCAAAATCTAGATTTACAGAGATGTGCCTTTAAATTATATACGTATAACGTTTTTTTTAAAAAAAAACCTTAGTAAACTAACTCAACTTAATAATTTTAAAAACTCTTTCTAATACTTTCCAATTATCGATAATTTACGATTTTTTTTCTAAAAATAAAAATGTTGATGTTTTTTACTTTTGATCAACAAAGATTGAATGAAATGTTCGAGTTGATGTTTAGTTGTTTATCATTGGTAAATGAACCCAAAAAAACGATTTTGTAATTTTTTTTTTGTTGGTCAACCTATTTTGTATATCTATGTTTCAATCAGTACAAGTAGAACTTGTATATGATAATAAATGTCACGTTTATATTTTGTATATCTATGTTTCAATCACGCTTATTCTATTTTTGTTTTGAATGATATACAGAGGCTTATCTATTATATACAGTACGAATAAATAGGAAAACCTTCAAGGAAAAGGAAATCTCAACACTTTCCTTTTCAATAAGAATTTTCATCAGATAAGGAAAATGATTTTTTTCTCTCTCTCTTTTGAGTTGTTGTCTTGATTCAGTATTATTGTTCTGAACATTCACTGGACTTATAGCTTTTGAAGCTCTGCATCTTACATTCATCCTTTTAGTGATATTGAATTTGCAATATAAACCGTTTCTCTAGTTCCTTCAGGGATGATGAAGGTACTGTATATATTCTCTTTAAAGCTCTTATGTACCACCAAGCCCGAGGTTCCCACTGCTTGTCCATCCTTGCTGCACTTGAATTGTGTACTGCAGATTCCACACAACATCCTCTATTGATGGCCGCTTCCTCTGATCTTCACAAAGACAGTTCATGGCAAACTCTACTGTGGTTCTTAGTGACTCGTACGCATATGTTCCTCTCACACACGGATCCGCCAAGCTACGCAACACCGATGGTTCGTCTCTCAAACCGTTCTCCAGCTGAAGCTTCAAGCTTCCCAACTCTGAAGATGCAGCCGCCACTACTTTGCCTGTGATGATCTGAACTAGTATCACTCCAAACTGGTACACATCTTCCTTCTCTCCATCTTCATTACTAGGGCTCTCCGCTCCAACCTGCAGAATCAACCCCCAAAAGACAATTTATGTCATGAGACTGAATTAGCAATAAGAAGCCAAGTCTTGTAATTACCTTAGATGGCAAAGGAATAGTGTAACCACTGAGTTTAACAGTGAGTGTTTCATCAAGCAGAACATTCTCTATCTCCAAATTGTTCCCAAAGATCCCTGGTGCCACTCCTGTGTGCAAGAACTGTATTCCTCGAGCGACTCCAATCGCTATCGACATTCTCTGAGGCCATTTCAACACCTCTTTTTTCCTACAATCTGCCAAAAACACTCCCAAACAAATTAGTTTTCCGAAAAGAATCCAATCTCTTGAATTCCGAAATATGTATTTACCAGTGAGGTAGTCCCTCAAAGAGCCGTTAGAGACGTATTCTTGGACAATGAAAATGGTGCTCCCGGCGTAGGGATGATGATCCTGATACGTAACAATGCAGTGTCCAAGAACACTGACCAAATGCACGTGCCTTAGCTTTGATAAAACTTCCATTTGTTGAGCCAAGTTTTGTGTCGAACTCTTCTGTTTCAGCTTAATACACCTCACGGTCACTGCTATGCCTTCTCTAAGGCAACCTTTGTACAGCTGTTTTATCAATTAATTAGAGACTCTAATCAAATTTGAATTCATGTCTTATTTGCTTTACCCTTTTACCTGTTCTCCACAGAGATTCGCTGCATCAAAATTGTTGGTTGTTTCTTCTAGTTCAGACAAAGAGAAAACTCGGTACGGTGATAGTCCAATCACGGCAGATCTCATGGTTTGTGGCACGCGTCCTGCATTTGAAACAATATTTGAGCTCGTTAGGTTTAAAATGAGTGGTGAAAACTTGATTCGAGATTACAAAGTAACAGTCTTTTATTACTTGAATCTGGTACTGTCTTTGATGTTGTGGACCTGGTGGCGGTGCTGCAAACAGAGACTTTATCGACGTTGTTTGCCTCAAAAGGCTCTTCCTTTGATCTTGTTTTTCTCATCCTAACCAAAACCAAGCCAGCCAAAACCGCTGAAACAAGGACCACGCCGATGATAATGCCAATCACTGGTCCAAGTTCAATTCCTCTATCTTCTTCTTTCTCTTCGTGATCCTTAGTGTCGGACTTCACAGCAGCTACTGCTTGCTTTGCTTCGTTTTCACAGAAGAAAACCGGACGCTGATACTTTGCAAAAGGTGAACCATTTACAGACAAGCAGTTGAAAGTGAAGATTACTGTCTGATTCTTGGAAGAGAAGCAAGATGGAAGCTTTCCTGTTAGAAGATTCCGTGAAACATCTAAGATTCTAAGCTTGGAGCTGCATAGCGATGAATTTGGAAGTGATCCACTCAACAAGTTCTGTGCTAAACTTAGATTCTGAAGCGAAGGAATCGCAAACAGGAATTTTGGGATTGACCCAACGAACTTGTTGGCGGAAAGATCCAAGCTTTGAAGCTTATTTAGCTTCTTGATCTGATCTGGAATCTTGGATCCAAATGAGTTGTTCCTTAATGAAACAGTGATCAAGTTACTTGCGAGTGAAGGAACAACTTCGGGGCCGAGTTTATTACCGCCTAAATTCAGCTCTTGAAGATTCGACAATCCTCTGAGATCAGGAACGCGTCCGTTGAACAGATTGTTCGCTAGAACAAGACTTCTCAGGTTCTTGAAAGACGAGATCTCTTTGGGAATTTTCCCAGAGATGAAATTAGAACTGAGATTCAGAGACTGGAGAGATGAAGATAACCTGATGATCTTTGGAGGGAGGGCACCAGAGATGCCGAGAGAGACGAGAGACAAGGTCTTTAAGTTTGAGAGTTTCGTAAGAACAGTGAAGAGTGAGTCGCTGGAGAATCTTCCGGGCAGCTTAACGGTTCTGTTTCCGGTGACGGTTAATTCGGTTACGTGACCGTTGAAACAGATGATTTTGAAGGAAGGGGAAGAAGGGAGGTAGCAGAAATTGGTCCAGTTGCTCCATGGTCGAAGAACCGGTGGATATTGTAAATGCTTCTGGATTTGTAACAGAGTTCTTGATTCACTTGATGTTAGCTGTGATTCTGAGAGTGATGGTAGAAGAAGAAGGAGAAGAAGGAAAGTGAGAGAATAGACGTGGCTTTTGGAGGAATTCTGCATTTTCTTTGGAATATTACAGAGAACGGATAAGTTTAGTGGTTAGAGAAACAGAAGGAAATGTGTCATTAGTTTTTTCTGAGATTAATTAGTGTGATTTGATTAGTACATAAATTCTTGGCATTTTGATGATCTAAGGCAGATTTTCTCGGGAAATTGAGAGAGAAAATTAAAACATGCTGAGCAGCCTGAGAAAGAGACAATAAATACAAAGTTATTCTTGATTTTTCTTGATTGTTCATCGGTGGTTGCACGTTGACAGACTGTTTTACTGCTTCGAAGGAAGTGATAAAAATAATTTGTTTTAAAGAAAAATTAATTAGATCCTTAAAATACGTAAAATCCACATGAATTTCTGACTATTATATCTACTTTTGATCCAAAATTTCCACAATTGGATTTATTTAATTCAACTTGGTTTTAAGTATTCACTGGTTTCACTGTTGTCAGCAAGTAAAATAAACATATTCTGTAATGTTCAGACCTTCCTTTGAAATATGCATTTATTGGTTACATAATAGATGCATACATACACCCATATGTACACACAGTGTCACACACATCATACATGTTTGACGAATAAATGTTTTTGTAGTTGTACTTCTCTTGAAAGTTGAAATCCGTATATGTGACTTCCCCAAGGTAATTCTTATCTTAATTTACAGTTTTGACAGAAAATTTAAATGATAAACTCATTAAGAACAGTTTTCCATTTGAACTCTTTTTTATTTTAGTATTATCAAACCAAAAAAAAAAATTTATTTATGGACAAGTGTGTCATTAATGTATAAGTAGATCTCAGTAGAATGCAGTAAAAGTCATACGTAGCAACCAGAATGCAGTAAAAGTCAACGAGCTTATTTTACAGTTGACTACTCAAGTTCCACGCGCAGGTCTAAGAAGTCACGTGCTAACTCTTGTCAACGTAATGATCGACGTTAGATCAGGAACACCCGTCGCCGTCGCAAGGAATCTAACGCCGTTCGCTGGACTTAAACAACAAATTTATACTTGCATATTATATCCAAATCTTTTTTCTAATTTCAGTTTACACC